AAATAAATAAATAAATAAATAAATAAATAAATAAATGAAATTATGTATGATAGGATTCCATTTACATAAAACTAGGTACACAGGTAGAAATGCAAAAAATAATAGGAAATATAAAACATAAATGGACTCTTTGTATTGTTTGCCTAAAGTAGGAGGGAATTGTAAAACTAAGTACCCCCAAAATAAAACCTTTTACAAAGGTCACAGGACACATCATCATCCAATAACGATTCTTTGAGAAGATCAGAAAGGATGACAGAGTGTTGAAAATATAATAATCAAATACTTTTCTTATCATGTGGTTCGGTGTTATTTAATGCTCAGTTCATTTGCCACGTGAGATTGTCCCGAGTGGCCCAGAAAGTCATCTCAAGTTGTGCCTGCATCCTAGAACGGTACGGGCCAGGAGGGTAAGGGATGGAGGGGCGGCGGGGTGCGGGGGTTCCAGGTGGGAGAAGAAAGAGGTCGGGAGAGTTACCCCCAGCTCAGGAAGGGGGCAGCTTTTCCAGGCTGGTCCCCAAGTGGAATGGAACAGGACCTCAGACAGGGAAGCCTGAGGAAGGGACCACGGGACGATGAACTGAAGGAGACCGAGGGCAAGAAAAATGAGAGCGCTGAAGAGCCACCAGGCCGGGAGCCCGAGAAAATAGGACACCGGTCCTCTCCTCGTGTCTCCCAGGCCCATGGGATTCCCTGCGGCTTCTAAGGGGTAAGGTACGTGGGGAGGGAAGAGGTGTAGACACAGAAAGAGAGGGGTGTTTTTTCTCAGTCTAGGCCCCAGCTGGCCAGCCCAGCGTCAGAACATGATGAGCAGGGAAATGCTCAAGTGCCGTCAGGGCCTCGCTGGAACGTAGCTCTGGGCACACCCAGCACGCCCACGCGGACGTGAGCAAAATGCCAGCTCGCGAGGGCGCCGCGGCCCCGGCTCCATCAGATGTGCTGGGAAACCAGCAGGTGCGTGGTGGGCAACGGAGTGACGCGGACGGGGGAGGAGAGCAGGGTGGACAGGGAGGACAGTAGAACAGGGAATCCACAAAAGGAGCCACGTGGGGAGAATGGCGTGTGTCACCTGCTAGAAGCACATTTCTTTCCTTTTTAACACCGGCGGCAAGTGTTTGCAAGGACATAGGCTTAAAAACAACAGCCTTAAAAACAACAACTAACCAAGCCCTTCGATGCGGTAATTCCACTTCTGAGAACCAGTCCTGAAGAAACGATCCAGAACGGCATACTCCACGGTGATTACGGTACACGTATGAGAATTGGGGCGCTCTAGAGTCCTTTTTCCAGCTGAGCCCCTTCCTAACTGTGTGACTCGGGCAAATCATGTAACCTCTCTGAGCCTCGGGGCCCCTCTGTAAAATGGGAGCAGTAAGCGCCCCCGTCGCAGGCTCGTCATGAGGAGTAAATGAGGTGACACACTTAACGCCCTTAGTGCTGTGCTCTGAGCTGCTGCACTGTTAGACAAAGAGCTTCTGGCCACATCCTTTCTAATAATAAAAAAAAAATCCCAAACTGGAGTCATCTGAATTGTCTTAAACTGATTGGGACACTGGTTAGGGAAACACAGGATGTTAGAAATATTTGCAAAAAAAAAAAAAAAAAAAATTATACATATATATATATA